GGTTTGACCTAAGCGATCGTCGCTTAGGTCAAACCTGGGTAGGTTTGTTCAGTTCACTAGGTTTGACTAGGTGTGCTCTACGGTTGTATTGAGCTCTTTTTAGTTAGTTGTTTTCTCGTGTCGGGGTTTTTTCTTTGGGCTTTAAACCTGTATCTGTGTGATTTTTTCGACAGACTTCATATTTCTAGCTCTCTTTTTTTTTAAAACCAATTTTTTCCTTCGAGATTGATTTGATTATTGGCAAATCAAAAATTCTAAGGGTTTTCGAGACGAGTATAGTTACATATATATATATATATATATATATATATATATGAAGAAATATAGTCTTAAGATGTGCTATATTCATGGGATAAAGTGCTCAATATCAGAAATAGAGCGTGTGTAAATATAAAAATTGAACATAGAATTCAAAACTTAGATGCGACAGTCTGTTTTATGCTAGATGGCCTGATGATTGCATCTAGCATGAAACAGACTGTCGCCTCTAAGTGTTGACTTCTATGTTCACTTATATATATTTGGAATTTTCGTTTTTTATATTTTAGATATTGTCATTTTGAACCATTTTTATCTATATGTATTTTCCCGTATAAGTTATATTTTAATAAGTGGTTAACATTCGTTTAGTAACACTTTCAGTCTTGAATATTTCTTGGTTGCGGTATCAGATTGTCTAGGTCAATGTATGTGGATGTCTGTACATGTATTTATCGGTGTCTATGTGTATAGAAAATGCATGCACATTTAATTGTGTATGTATGTATGTGTTCGTTTTTTTTTTTTTTTTTTTTGTAAAGGACCGTGGAGATGTTTCCGGTCTCGTCGTTTTTTTGTGTGTGTATATATCTAAATGTGCCTGGGTGCTTATGTATTATAATCTGAGTGTGTTTGTGTTTTTTACGCGAGAGGTTAGCACCCCACTCACAAACTTGGTAATAAAATGTATACATTTTGTCGGGAAGACCAGCTGATATTAGCGTCTATTCTAACGTAATTTCAATGAAGAAATAAATTGAATAACATATGTATTTTTATATTTTCAAACTTAATAGAGATTAAATTTAGATTTTAAAATTGGTATTTTTAATTTTAATATCAAATTTTATCATATAATTCAATACTTATTGGTTAGAATAAATTCTATTTTCGTATAACCCCAGCTTTAAAGCTTTTAATAGCTATTATAACCTTACTTCGTTGTCAAGTTTCTTGAATTCTCTTATACTTGTGTTTTGATTGGTCATTCTAGCTTTTGTAACAGCGTTTTTCCCTTGCGAAGGATCGTTAATTAATTTAAAACTTTTAAAACCATTTATTTGACATTCAACATCATCACTTGATAAGACAGCGGAGGTGTTGAAACAAAATGGCTATTTTTGTAGTGATTTTTATAACATAATTATATATATATATATATATATATATATATATATATATATATATACACACACACACACACACACACACACACACATATATATATATATATATATATATATATATGAGAAAGAAAAAATATATCAAATACTGCGTAAGAATTTCTGGGATTACGTGTAAAGACATAAAAAGATTCAAAACACGCAGTCGAAAAATTAGAATGAAAAGTTAATTTTTAATATATTCGCTAGAAAATCAAAAATCAAAAAATCAATCAATCTATCTATCTATCTATCTGCCCTCTCTCTCTCTCTCTCTATCAGTACATGTCTCTCTCTCTCTCTATATATATATATATATATATATATATATATACAGAGAGAGAGAGAGAGAGAGACATGTACTGAGAACTATATAAATAAATGTTAAATATTAGATATGTGCAGAAGTTTCTGGCGTTCTGATTGCAAACTAGACACTAGACATAATTGAGAACCGCTACAAACAATTGCACTCACCTAATGTTAACAAATAATAAGTGCAAGGCCCGAATACGTCTACACAAGATTAATGATGTTGTCTGTAAAGACGAAGAATTCAAACTTTAAAAAAAGGAAGAAATCAGAGCGTGAGTTAAAAAGTAAAAAAAACATTAAGTAAAAAAAGGCCATCAGCAAGTGAAGCACGAGCTTCGACATGGAGAAATTCGTGTCAAGCATGTACAGAAATTCAAATATCTCGGTACTGCAATAAGAGGCGACGGAATATCTAATGTAGACATCTGAAAGCGAATCGGACTAGGAAGAGAGGCCTTCTCGAAATTAAGCAACGCGTAGAGGAAAAAGTGTGTGAAATCAAAGACAATAAATAATCTTCAAACCCAGCTTGTTAAATTTAAATAAAGTTGAAAGAAAGTCACAAAGTTCAACGAAAAATGTTTTGTTTTTATTTTTACAAAATGAAAGAATTGAATTGTGTTAGTATAAGCAAGATATATATATGAATTTTCCCGATTGATATTATTTTATGTATAAAGGTAAAAGACAATAGGAAAACTATATCATGAGCTGACCTGTTTCATCCAATGTGGACATTTTCCAGGCAAAAACGAAATTAATTTATTGAAAAAAAAGTAACTATTAAAAAGTATTTGACGTAATTTTCAGTTGATTATATGAATACAATAGCGTTTTCTGAATTTGAGATGCTGTTTGTTGTTAGTTACTTTGTTTTCAATAAATTCATTTCGTTTTTGCCTTGAAAAAGTCCACACTGGACGAAATGCGTCGCCTACTAATACAATTTTCCTATTGTCTTTTACCATTATACATATTGTCTTTTTCTACAGGTTAACTCAGAGAAAATGTTCATATTATTTTATGTATACTTGTATGATGTATGCGTAATCCGGACAGTCCGCCGAATAAATGCTATATTGTTACTACAATTCGCTTTGTTTATATATCTCGCTCATATATTTTTCGTATTGTATGAAATACTCTAAAAGCGTGAATTATAATTTCAAAAGAAGGTAATTAGAACTCACATAAGTTATTTTATGCGAAAAAATTAGTTTGAGAATTGAGTATTGTTTATATCGTCCAGTCAAGAAATACTGAAGATGCTAGAATATTAGTTTTCGTTACGTTATTCATAAGGAAAAATCTGATCAGAGAAAGTTAAAAGTTAGGTTTACTATACTCAGAAGTTTTATCGGTTAAAAAATATATTTCCTAATTTTTAATTTCTATTTTTAGGAGGGAAAAGATTGCTAAACTTTTTCCAGCGTGATCTTACAATTTTTTAGCAGACGAGAAGAATGGTCGTCTGTTATTTGAAAGGGAGAATGGCGTTTGAGATAACGCCGCTGATTAGCTAATAAATGCTAATGTGGAAATCTGAATTTGAAGCTCGTATGATACTATTTTTGCACAGAATTCAGGTTTTCACCATACTACTTAAATCCTTGAGTTCTTTCTTTTACAATTTTTAAAAGGTTTCTGTAAAAGTATCAATACAGTAACATTTCAATGAAACACTGAAAATAGCCCTGAACAACAACGCCGTATTTATCCTTCTGCATAGCAGCAGATGCTGAACAATTTCCTTATAGATGAAGAAGAGACTTAAAGCATCAGAGATGTGGTTCTATAGACGGGTGCTGAAAAGGGGAGCGACGAGGAAGTTCAAAAGAACATTGAGACTTGACAGACATTTATACATAAAAATCCCCAAAATACTTGAAATTTCTAAAAAAAAAAAAATTCAGGCGGAATGTCGGCTCGGAATATTTAATACTCACAGGCCATATTAATAGAATATATTTTTCATGTTGAGCCAATCAAGATAGAGGTTTGATGAATGAAATTGTTGCAAGGAGGGAGGGGTGCATATTATGAGAATGTGTTCTATAGATAACAGTTGACCCTAAACATTTTTAAAATCTTCACATCAAATAAAGCTATAAAGCCACTAAGACGCAAATTGTTACTGAGTGTGAAATAATATGAAGAAAAAAAATATCATTATGGAGAGGGGGCAATAATAGAACAGCAATTAAGAAGACAGAAGATAAAAAATGACATTACATTTAAATTTTTGAAGCTCCAAAGGAAAGAAAGCCACTAAGATTCAAGAGATTACTGAATATTAGAGAATATGAGAAAACCTATTAAGAAGAGAGGACAATGAAAGAAGAAGAATTAAGAAGATTAAGACTGAGGGAAACAATAATACATTTTAGTGAGTTTGTGTAAAGGTGTTATGGTCTAGGTCTTTGTACCATGGTGATAGTCCAAGGTAGAACCAATAAAGAAGAACTCAAACACAGATATGGAATAACACAAACAGGAATATATACAGAGAAGTAGAAAGTGTTAGTACAAACAATCAGGTTTAGTAGGGAGAACAATGTAGTCTCGACCAGTGTCACGATTCCAATGTCTTGTAGTAATTTTCTGGACGCGACTCTGTTTCGGACTGCCTCTGACTCGAGTGACTGACTCTCTCGCTCTGACTGACTGACTGACAGACTCCTGACGGAATTCTCTCCAGACTTCAGACTGAACAGTATTTAGTCACCCCCCTCGCAAGAGAGCATCATGTGGCACAAGGCCGGTTTAACGTGGGATCTCCGAGCCAGTGGGCTCGGCCAAAAATATGCCCATTGAACCCGTATAAATGGGTTTAGTGTCGGTTTATCTCCCCGAAAGAGACTCCGCCCTTCGGCGTAGCCTCGTTCGGGTTCCTCCCTGCCCGAAGGCAGAGAGTTCAACCGATCAGCCGGTCATCCGACTTCAGACTGAACAGTATTTAGCCACCTCCCACCAGGGCATCATGTGGCACAAGGCCGGTTTAACGTGGGATCTCCGAGCCTGTGGGCTTTACCAAAAAATATGCCCTTTGAACCCGTATAAACGGGTTTAGGGTCGGTTTACCTCCCCGAAAGAGACTCTGCCCTTCGGCTTAACCTCGTTCATTATATTGGTGTAGGTTTTCGGGGTTAAAATGAACAATTGATTTACCCACCCCAAAAACATTCATGGATGATGATAATGACGATGAAGCACACAGGTAATTTTAACTAAATGTAAACAATTAAGATATTTAAATGTTATCCCAACCTGAGATAAGTGGTTTCTGGGTCAGTCCTTCATCAATGGTAGTAAATTTATCAATGACTTCGTCAAAATGGCAGTCTCCTAGTTTTCGTTTTTTACATTAACACATAACAATTTTTTTTTTTTAAATTATGTTTTGGCAATAAAGTTAAAATAATAACTTTTGCTTCATACTCTCTTTGAGTTGAATATATAATAAAGAAAATATTTTAAAATTCGCCCATTCATTTTTATTAATTAAGGATGATTTGTTTCTTACCAATTAATTATGCAAGAAGTTTTTATTTTGACGATGCAATTCAGTTTTATAATCAGTCATTTCAGAAGAAATCATTTGCAAATTAGACTCCTGACCTTGGAGCTAAATTAGGGGCCATACGAAATCTTTGGCTGAAGGGATACCCTAGACACCCTACATTAGTGACCAGTTAGTATAGGAAATTTGTCAGGTTACATGGCACTTCGATGATAAAGTTATTCCTAAATCTCTGGCTCATCATGTGAATTTAAAATGAACCAAAATGAAGTCAGGCTGTGAAGCAAAATCTATGATTTATCACTATACAGTGGCGTGGGGGTTTGGGATTAAAATGAACCATTGATTTCCCCAGAAGATTAATGGAGGATGTTAATAACGAGGAAACACGTGGGTAATTTTAACAAAAATTTAAACAATTAAAATATTTAAATATTATTCCAACCTGAAAAAAAGTGCTTTCTGGATCAGCCTTTCCGCCTGTCGCCGATAATGTCACACTGCGAACAATAGAGATATGGATCAACAGAAAAACACAGAGAATATAATGGGAAGAGCATTTGAACAATGAGGAAGTTTTAGTGGAAAATTGAAACGTTGAGTACATTTGTACATAAAACTGAAATTTCTGGGGTACATAATGAGGAAAGAATGCTTGAATGTACTTGCTTAGATATGGCAACAGTTCTCCATCTTTGGTCTGAATTGACTCTTGCAAAGATAGAGCAACGCAATAGTTAAGTACTTTCCTGAATAGTACAAGGAACAGGTCATTGCTCCTGCATCTTTACCGACGACACGAATATAGGAATAGTACTCGTGATCGTGAATGAGCTTGAATCACAACAGAAGGTTGGGATAAAGGCAGGACTTGAGTAAATATAGTGTTTACTCGTTGGTAATAAAACATTACTAGATTGAGGGGAAACAATAATAAATTTTAGTGAGTTTGTGTAAAGGGATGGCAAAATAGGGAAAACTAGACCAAGGAAAGAAATTATATTGGCGTGGGGTTTCGGGGTGAAAATGAACAGTTGATTTACCCACGCTAAGAAGATTAATATAGAATGATAATGACCAGGAAACACACGGGTATCTTTAACAAAACAAGATAAGTAATCTATTCATGAATTTACCCGCTTGAACTAGTGTCAGTGGCTCGTTTAAATAAAATAAATTGTAATTCTTAAAGTCCGTATTTTTAACCTATTTTAAGAGGAAATTTTCATACAACAGATTAAATGATTTGACACATAATGTTTACGACAAATGTAAGAGAGTTTGTTACTCATCGAAGGCATATGTGGTTTACATAGGTTCAGAAGTAGACAAAGAGGGGTAGTTTGAAATACTCAGCTTTTTTAGATTGAGAAATTCTTTGAAGTACCACGTCCTAGTTAGAGGCTGATAATATAATTGGCGAATAATTTTACACAGGTGAATAGTCCAACGCTAGCCGCGAGAAACTGAAACGAAATATAGATTAATGGAGGATGATAATGGCGAGTAAAGATAGAGATTATTTTAACAACATAAGATAAGATATTTATCCACGAATTTACACGCTTGAATTACTAACAACAGCTCGTTTCAGAAAAATAAATGAGAACTTTTTAAATTTGGTATTTTTAACGAATTCTCATGAAGGAGAAATGTTCATATAACAGATTAAATGATCTGACATGAAATAATATTCAAAAGTGTTTAAGACAATGGTGAGTTCGTTGTTCACAGGAGTGTTATACAATTGCATACATTCAAAAGTAAACGAAAAGAGATAGTTTGAAATACCTAAGTTTCTTGATTTGTTGAAATAAATTTATTTGAAATGCCATGTACTTGATTAAGTCCGATAATATAATTAGCGAGTAATTTGACACTGGTGTATATTTGAACGCTGGACGCGTGGACAGATATGAAACTTTTTCACATGATTTCAGACACAATTCTCTTACTGATTTAATTTTTTCCTTATTTTATATCAAACAGGATTTCGTATATACTTGCTATTTTCTTTCCTCTCTTTTTTTAGACCCAACGGCTAATTACTGTGAAAACAAGGTTTTTCACTGGTCCAAAGAAAGCCCACATAGACTCACGAATTTGCTTTCGTCTTTTTCTTAGCTCGCCCGCCAATCTCTATGAGATCAAAGTGTTCATTGGTCCAAAGAAAACTTCGCACAGGCTCGCGAATTTCTTTCCGTCTATTTTCTATCGCCTTCCCGAATTTGAAGGGAGTGGGTAAAAGCAGTTATTATTATTATTTTTTACTCGTCACAAGATAAACACTTCTTCGAGCTACGAGCTACAAGAATGTGTGGAGACCCATGAAGGTAAGCGGCACGAAAATGCCGAAACAATATTGTGCCTGGGTGAAGAATGCTGATAAGTGAAGCAATCATAACGTAGCCATAAAGACAATGAAAAAGAATATCAAATATGGCGGAAGGGTTTCCGGTAATGCAGGCGAAAATGAAAATGAGACTGAAAAATGGCGGAAAGAATCTCGAGGTTAAAGAAAGAAAGGCTTGAATGTCGAATTAGTCGGATGCTTAAAATAGAAGGTTAGAAAGGAAAATACATTGTAAAAGATGGAGAATATGGCTATAAGTGGAAACATGAACAGATAAAAACTGACCGACCGTCAAAAAATAGCGAGCGAAAGAAAATGAATTATTCTTTTCTGTGAGAAAAACAATCTGGAAATAAATAAGAATGAAAATATTATACTGCTTCTATCCGCTAATAGTTGCTATATTTTCATAATTATCTAGCAAGAAAGAAAACTAGTTAGACGATAAAGAGGAAGAAAGTAAGAAACAAAGAAAATGATAGATAGATAGATAGATAGATAGATAGATAGATAGATAGATAGATAGATAATGAAAAGAGAGCGAAGAAAGCGTGATGATAAGAACAAATGAATGGTGTTTTTTTCTAAGCGTAGTTTACATGTAACACAAGGCCAAAAGAATGGGACACCCAGTGAGGAACGAAATCACTATTCAGTCGTAATTGATTTAGTGAGACAACCTTGCACACGATTACAGAACGTCGAAGGGACGAAAGAAAGAAGGAATGGTTGCCAAACAAAAAGAAACTCCTGCCTCGATAGTAGATGTCCTATTGGCATACACAGCTGAAAAGAAAGAAAGAAAGAAAGAAAGAAAGAAAGAAAGAAAGAAAGAAAGAAAGAAAGAAAGGGTGATGATAACCAGGGAGATCAAAAAAAGAAAGAAAGAAAGAGTGATGATAAACAGGGAGATTAAAGAAAGAAAGAAAGAAAGAAAGAAAAGAAGAAAGAAATAATGAAAGAAATAAATAAAAAAGAGTGATGATAAAAAGAAAGAAAGAAAAAAGGGTGAGGATAAAGAGGGATTACTAAGAAATAAATAAAGAAAGAAAGTCGAAAGAAGGAAAGAAAATCTGATGAGAAAGATGGAGAACTAAGAAAGAAAGAAAGAAATAAAGAAAAAGAAAGAGTGTTGATAAAGACGGATAACTAAGAAAAGTAGAAAGAAAGAAGGAAAGAAAGAAAAAGTTAAGATGAAGAGAGAGACTTAAGAAAGAAAGAAAGAAAGAAAGAAAGAAAGAAAGAGTGAGGATAAAGGGAAAGAAAGAAAGCGTGAGGATAAAGAGGGAGAACTAAGAAAGAAAAAGAAAAAAAAAGAAAATCTGATGACAAAGATGGAGAATAAAGAAAGAAAGCGTGATGATAAAGACGGAGAACTAAGAAAGATAGGCAGAAAGAAAGGAGGAAAGAACGAAGGAAAGAAAGAAAGAATTAGGATAAAGAGATAGACTTAAGAAAGAAAGAAAGAAAGAAAGAAAGAAAGAAAGAAAGAAAGAGAAACAAAGATTGTTCAAAACACGGGAGAACTGAAACAGAAAAAACAAAGAAAACAAAGAGTAATGATTCAGATTTGAAAATAAGAGAGCCAAGTTCAAATTCCAGTTAGGTTGGTTATATTCACTTAAGCGCAAATGCACTTGGGAAATGTATGAATGCACCCCCCATCTATGGGTTAATTAATAGGACATATATCAGTAAATCATTATTGTCTTTAAAAACATTAGTACATTCTAAAAATATGTTTTGCTTTAAATAGCCTGCAAAAGGTTGGTAAAGCGAAAATAAATAATTCGAAAGACATCCAAGACCGGTGCCTATGAAAGAACATAATTAAGTCCATCATGTAATGAAGAAAAATATTTATTTTACACGGCTGATATTTATATTTCAACAATTTCATTCCAGTTAATATAAATCATCCAAATTTCTTCATTAATCACATAGATCAAATAATAGATTGTGAAAATTACTGATAAAACATTCGGAATGGAAGATCTTCTGAAATAATAAAAAAAAAACAAGTATCGAAACATGAATTCAGAAAATATGAACACGGCCACTATGTACTGGCTGTATTCATGGATTAAGAATGTTCTAATTTCAGCAACTTTACAAAAGTATGTACAAACCGTTTGGTTGATTGTTTTTATTTTTTTATCATTTTACCCCAAGCAAGGCGATAAAGTCACAAGAACGCGGGGGTGGGGGGTTACAGGGAGTAAATGTGAAAGTGAAAGAAAATGGGGGGAGGATTAAAAAAAAAAAAAGAACACTTGGTCCAGAAAAGCAAAAGATAGTGGTTGACGCTGCATTTAATCTTTTGGAGTTTTAGTTACGAGGGAGGCAGTAAGCAGTGCGAGAAAATAAACTGTTAGAGTGGAAGTGGCGGTTGAATCTAGCTAGTTCCACATTAAAACGGTGATGGCTATCATGCTAATCTGGTAGCACGCTTAAATTCATGCCAAAGAAATGTATTAAGACATTTTTTTTTAAATCGATTCTCTCCAAGCAATGAAAAAATATGCACAATGAAATGAAAATAAAATACCAGCATACGGAACGTATGTTCCAAGTAATAGCGTGTTTGAATTTTGAAGTTGTGTTGTCTTATCCTGCTATGGCAGCAGTAAATGTCCGTAACTGAAGATAAGTTTTTGAAAAACAATGCAGTGAAAAGGAAAGTAGTAAATAATGCTGTGTGTAGTAAGTTAATATTTGACTTAGCTTTTGAAAGGGATACTTCGCTATCACAATATGACTACAGATTTCAGTGTCGCAATTTCCTCCTCTGTTGAAATACTCCCAGACATTTAAATTGCTTGCTTGTGCTATCTCCAATTTATAATTTCTATGTTAGGCTCTTCCTTTTGCTAACAAGCATGCATTCTATGTTTATGCTTCAATTAGTGACATGTATTTATCTGTTAAAGTGAAATGCACTTAGTATAGTCCAATTAGTAGAGTAAAATATCTTAGTAGTTTTGCACAGAATTTAAGATTCTGATTATTACATTGTTTTGACAGATATATTTTTATTTTATTTATTTTTATCTATTCTTTGATATAAAAGAAAAATAAATAAGTAAAAACAAGTAAAATAAATTAATAAATAGATTAATCAAACTAAATAGATAATTAACAAACAACTCCCGCCAAAATAACCGTTAGAATAGATTACCCACAATGCACCACTGACCTCTATATATAAATAGTCTGGAATAAAATCAACACATTTGGCCTGATGATTGCGTTTAACATTAAACAGCCTGTCGCCTCTAAATGCTGACTTCAATGTTTACTTTTATATTTACATACGTCTATCTATGTTATTGAGCATTTTATCCCATCAATATAGCATACCTTAAAACTATATTCCTTCACACACACACACACACACACACACACACACACATATATATATATATATATATATATATAAAGGGATATATGTGTGTGTGCTTGTGTGTGTGTGCTTTAGGAGTAATATATGCATAATTTAAGGCTTATTACATTCTACCCCAAACTACACTGCCGATCGATGCTGCCCTACCAGAAGAAATAGATAAGCAAACGATATGTGCCTTACATAATGAACTGAGTGATCCCAAATCAATTGTCCAAGAATAATGAAAATAGAGAAATCGATTTTATTGTTATTTCCCAATACCATTGGTCAGTTCGTCTGCATATGTGAACTGAATGTCTGGAAGATCTTAAGAATCGCCTGTCAATTAACGCTCATGTTTGGCTTTTGTTTAAACGTATACAATATCACGAAGAGAAATGAGTTTATTCTTGCTGCGGTGGTCGGTGATGAGGGGTGATTTATACCGGCCGGACTGAAAGATAAAAAGGAATCAATGTAGTTATATTTCTCCCCTCAGAAAAAAAAAAAAAAAAAAACTCTCAATGTTGATATCAGATTTCGAACTCTTTTTACCAATCGATCATACATTTTTTCTCTGCCTTCCCTTATTGTTCTCTTCCTTTCTGCCGATTAAATAACAATAACAATTTCTTACATAGCCTCTCCTTATCGTGATGGAGGGGGTGGCGCAATCTAAAGACTCAGAGTGCGATGCCGTCGTGTGTTCTAAACTCCTGATAGGGCCACCCTTCGCGATAAGCTCGAAAATGAGGACCGGACTCTAGCGCAACCAAACCCCTAAAGAACTAAACGGTGAAACAAGCGAATGATGATTACAACAGAACTCAACGGTTTAACCAGCGGTAAAGAAGGCTACGCATGATGGATATGCTACAGAAGGCGCCACGAGAAACTATAACCGAATCAGCGGCAGTCCGTTGTGGTTTAATAAGTGGATCCGATATGTTTAATTCCATATGTACTGCAGAAGAAGGTTATGAAATTAAATTAAATAAATTCATGCCATCAACAAAGTAGAAATTAAAATGAATGGCGGGACAGGGTTTAGAAATAACGAAAAGACAAAATTTATTTAGAGCTACAAGGGACAGGAAGATATGGGGGCCCTAATCGCCTTCACACAGAGGAGAAAAAGAGAGAGAGAGAGAGAGAGTATTTACTAATCTCAACGGTATAGACGTAAGCAGAAACATGGGATTAATATTTATGGACCAATCAGAAAGCATTGTTGCCAACTTTAACGGATTCAGCACAAACTGAGAATACTTTGCTGTGATCCTCTTTAAACAGGTTTATAACAGAGAATATAGAAATATGATTCTACAATATATAGATAGATATATATGAACAGAGTGAGAAGTAGATAGATAGATATATATCAGCAGAATGAGATACCAGCAACCTGAGATAGATAGATAGATAGATAGATAGATAGATAGATAGATAGATATGAACGGAGTAAGAGAGATAGATATGAACAGTGTGAGATAGATAGATAGATAGATAGATAGATAGATAGATAGATAGATATGAACAGAGTGAGATAGATAGATAGATAGATATGAACAGAGCAGATAGATGATAGATATAGATAGATAGATAGATAGATAGATAGATAGATAGATATGAACAGAGGGAGATAGATATGAACAGTGTGAGATAGATAGATAGATAGATGAATAGATAGATAGATAGATAGATATGCGCATACTGAGATAGAGAGATATATACGAGCAGCCTGAGATAGATAGATAGATAGATAGATAGATAGATAGATAGATAGATAGATAGATATGAACAGAGGGAGATAGATAGATAGATAGATAGATAGATAGATATGAACGGAGTAAGAGAGATAGATATGAACAGAGTGAGATAGATAGATAGATAGATAATGCAACAGAGCAAAATAGATAGATAAATAGATAGACAATGAACACACTCATATAGATAGATAGATAGATAGATAGATAGATAGATAGATATGCGCATACTGAGATAGAGAGATAAATACGAGCAGCCTGAGATAGATAGATACATAGACTAGGATCAAATCCAACAGAAAAATGATATAAAGGACAAATAGTAAACGGTTGTCTCTCGAACATATTTAACTTTTAATTTTGTCAGAGACTGAGATAGACTCTCACTGGTGTTGCTTGTGCTATTTACTATTACTTTGGATTTTCTGTTAATTTAACTATGTCAATACAGGTCAATAAATAAACGTACCTTCCACTCAAATAACCACTAAAAATAACATTTAGGTTATGCAGTCTATTGGATTAATAAATATACAAAATACATTAATTCTTTATGAACAGATAGATAGATAGAAACAAACGGTGATAGCGAGATACATGTATACATATATATGAACATACATCGATATTAACAGATAGATAGATATGAACAGACTGAGATAGATAGATAGATATGAGCAGACTGTCCTGCTAGTTAACTGGAGGGAGAAAAAGAGGATTCACACCTTTCCCAAGGATATTAGCACGTAAGTGAATGTAATGGATTCGACTGGAATTCGAACTCGGCTCTCCGATTCCTCAATCCGAGCCGCTATCCATTAATCCACCGTGCCTCTCCCTTTGTTTGTCTGTCTGTCTGTCTGTATGTCTGTCTGTCTGTCTGTCTCTCTCTCTCTATCTCTCTCTCGCTCTCTCTCTATCTATATATATATATATATACATACATATATATATATATACATTTACATATTTGTTATTGTTATGACCAAATTAAAGAAATAACAAACAAGTGTTGCAGATATATGATATATTAAACAGTAAGTACAACAGTAGAGTATTACACGATTAGTAAGTGGGTGTTGGTTTACCCAGCGTTCAATCTATTCGACTTCTCTCTTACTAATCTTATAGTAGGCGGAAAAGTCCAACATATCTCTTTAGAGAGAAGACACCACGATATTTATTGCAAAAATTTGCAATTATGGCACAAGGCCGAAAAAGGGGAGGGGCTGAGGCTGGTTTAACTAACTATCCTATACCTAGCTAATCCGATTCACGATCCATTCATACATTACAGCATATATATATATATATATATATATATATATATATATATATATATAGAGAGAGAGAGAGAGAGAGAGAGAGAGAAAGAAAGAAAGAAAGAAAGAAAGAAAGAAAGAAATATGTGACAATCATTAGGAACACAAAGGGAAAATACCTTATGAAAATGAAATCTCATTGTTTTCGATTAATTATTCAATGTGAATATTAAATATTAAAGAACAAATTAATGATTAAATGGAAAACCTGTTTATTGACTTATTTCGTTTCGAGAAAAGCGCTTTTAAAATAAGTTATCTATTGATTTAACCTTTTAATGATATATATATATATATATATATATATATATGTGTGTGTGTGTGTGTGTGTGTGTGTGTGTGTGTGTGTGTGTGTGTGTGTGTGTGTTTATTGTTTGGCCACTTAGTTACTTCTCCTGGCGTTTACATCTTGAAATTTAGTGTTTTCAAGTCATAATTAAAAATGTTCATATCTATCTATCTATCTATCTATAATATATATATATATATATATATATATATATATATATATATATATATATATATATTAAGTCATTTGTCTACTTATTTTCATTAGGATACTTTCATATTCACGCAAAGCTTCTTTGTATCGTTATCGGAAGAGAGAAAATTACAACGTTCATACTTATTTATTCCGTGTGCTTTCGGCATTAGCACTTTCTCATTATTATCCCCGTGTTGTTTTTGCAAGGATAAAATAGTTGTGTTCATCTGAATGTTAATTTTTTTTAACGGTGATGTGAAAAACCCTAAATTTGACGATGTAGACCTCAGGAGAGGTAATAAATTGGCCGAGCAATAAACCTTATCCAGTGATGTATTCAAGGCGTTTTATCATTGTTGGCAAAGCGCAACCTGTGAACCAACCCAGTGTGTGTTCTTTTAATTCCGCAGTACTACTTGGTGTAGGAAACACATCTTTGTTGTTATGATATTAATTTCAGTTATTTTCTTTAACAGAAGTTCGTTTGAGTGTAAGTGTTGCTCTATCTATCGTCCTTTAGGGCCTAGTAATAATTAATATACTTTAATAATAATATAACATAATAAATCAATTAAAATATTAATTACAAATATTGACTAAAATATTATAATTTAATTAATAATATAAATTAACAAAGATTACAATTTAATTAAAAATACAGCATAACAAAAAATTCTATACATGCCATAAAAAATTAATTTAATTTCGAAGAAAAAATTATAAATGGAAGAAAAATCTACAGCTGAAAAGAAATGAAAGACGTAAACAAAAACAAAATTTCATGAACGTGTGCGTGTAAAACAATGTCAAATTCATGAAACACGCGTGTACAAAACAGAGTAAAAAAGCGGAATGAAAAGTACGCGGAATCAATTGACAAAAATGAAAATATCATTTAAAACCGCAACCTCTGAAGCCTGGAAATTTTACCAAGAAACTTCAAAGTCGGGATAAAGTTGATATTTAAAAGTTAAGCAATCTTTTCATATAAATATATATTAGATATTATTTTTTTTATTTCTTATTTGAACCTCCCACCTAACCAAACTAGGAGACCGAGGAAATTCAAATTCTACATCCTAACAAAATTCTACGGCCAGATTTTATCTCCTCTTAGCGCTTATCACCTCATCCTCTTCTCATGGCCTCTTTCTTTCTTTTCCCTTCTACTTTTTTCGTTTTCCCTTCTTGTTCGTCCATACATGACTACTTAATGCATTAGATTCCCTTCCATCTCTACATTTAAATTCTAGAAGACATTTTATGAAAATTTCCAAAGAGCGGAAGTGGAGGATATTTGCTTCGATAACTGTATTTCTGAATAACATTTTTAGTAACACCATTATTCCCCACCTGATGAGACGTCTAAAAAAGGTTTTCCCTCCCTTTTTTCTTTTTTTTTGACGTTGAAACAAAAATGTACCATTTTGTAGTGGTCATGTGCATGTTCTAATGTAACACTACATAAGATATATATATATATATATATATATATATATATATATATATATACACACACACACACACACACACACACATACATACATATATATATATATATATATGGTTTGGTTTAGTTTCTTTTACGGAATATTGTTAAAACTTGACTAATGCATGGAATAATAATGCAACACAAAATGTACTTAGAAAAAAATGTATTGAAACAAGAAAGTGTACACAATATTTACATATAGTCTTTTGTATATTCCTGGTAAGACCGTTCCTGAAGAATGTGTTGACTTAGTCGCAGTCGGGCAGAGCCTCTGGATTGAATCTCTTGATTCTTTCCCTTCTCTTCCCGCTACCAACCATATTTATATGGTCGGTACTTCACTATGCAAATTAGGTGGATCCTACCACAACACATATCAACCTCGATGGATTATTAAATGCCGGCAAAAACTTCATTCTTGGTAATATTTTTTTCTAAAAATCTATTTCTGGTAATATTTTTCCTGCAAAAATCTATTTCTGGTAAGAATTTTCTTTTGCTGGTAATATTTGCTTTTCAAAAAATGTATCCCTGGTAATGTTTGTTTTTCGCAAATGTATTGCTGGTAATAATTTTTTTTTATTTTTTAGAAAGTATTTCTGTTATTAAACCTTATTTTTATACTTTCATAGTGTTTTGAGCTGAGTTTGTGTGTTAACTATTCCCTCATACCTGGAACCCTAACAGTTGGTTGCTATCACGCCGGGTCAGGCTTGTTTCACGCTCCTCAACCCTCCTGATCAGAGACCTTGCTGTTGGACGTAGTTTATAGTCTTACTCAGAACGTGGATATAGTTTACCGTTATACCCAGGACGGACATATATATATATATATATATATATATATATATATATATATATATATATATATATATATATATATATCAAGTATGTGTGCAGTTCAATTTACATTACATGAATCATTCATACAAATTTAGAACAATTTATTTCATGCCACATTGACTGAAAAACCTACCAGTACAAAAGAATTCTCCTATTAACATATTAGTACAAAAACGCACAATCTTAAAATTTAAAAATTCAACCTCAGCGTTGCGACCACACGCTCCAAAAAAATTTCTTACAATTAACAATAGCACATTTCTTAAAACATATTTCGGGTTACATCTATACTTACGTTGTCCTGTTATCACCGAGAAGTAAAAAAAACAAACACAGATCTGTTTCCATACCTGGTGATGTCTGTATGAACATATGAAAGCTTGTAAAAAACTAAAAAAAGACCTTATGCAACTGGAATTTATAAACAGGGATCGTAACATTCATCTACAGGTTCGGGGTTAATGTACTTTATTAATTTATTTGCGAAGATGTATTCTCGCCATTTATATCATTTTCTATATCCGTTTTTGTATGAATGATTCATGTAATATATATATATATATATATATATATATATATATATATATATATATATATATATATATATATAGTATCACAGTAATATATTGTGTTTTTTTTGTGCAGGCTTGGGGTAGGGGTAGTGTTTTCAATCTCAAGTGCTGGTCCGGGCGGCTCAGATTTAGCTAAGCCTCTGGTGCAACTTTTTGTAAAATAGCCCAACCTATTCATATAATATATTATCTAAATTTCTACATGCCTCTACAGCGTATTTCATGAGACACATTTTGCTATTTGTAGACCGAAAGATGTGGTATTTATTGACGGTTGTATAATCTCGGAACGTGCTATTGAAATTTTGAACTTTAGCGTTGCAACTAGCACGTTCCAAGATTGTACAACCATCATAAATATCACACTCTTAAAAAAAGAAAAAAACATCTTTCGGTCTACAAACAATTATTTCGTCTTCAAGTTTTAACTTTAAAGAAAAAAAAATACCGCCTGACGATGAAGACATGGATCTTCGAAAGTACTTGCTTTACTTAAAAATATATACACTAGAAACATTTGACAAGAGTTTTATAAATGAGGATCACATCATTCAATGGATTAACATTATTTTAATGCATATATTATGTTCTACTAGAGAAGTGATTTCGCCATTAATCGCATTAATATTGCTGATTGATTCTATGTATGATTATTTATTTATATATAAAATATATTGCTGCCTAATTGATATATATATATATATATATATATATATATATATATATATGTATTCGCGCGCATCTATATGTGCTTGCATATGTGTCGATAATGAAACGTCCCGCACGCCTTATTGTCAAGTCCTTCGGTGAGTGTGCGTTCTTATTTCTTCCCTGTCACAAATTATCTCTTTCCGTTTCTTCTTTGTCTTTGATGTGCAACGTCAAAGCATATGCCATCGTCTCCTTTTTTTTCAAGCGGTTCATCTAGAAGGCCATTATAGGAGACACACCTTCTTACATAATGGCATTTCTAGACGGAGTCGTTTCATTCTTTGCTTTTCTTTTTTCTTTTTTTTTGTCTTATATTCCCCACCGTTCATACATTCGATCCTTGTTTTCCCGCCTTTTTCTTCTTTTTTTTTTATCCTCTTGCAACACTTATCTTTGAAGAACGGTCTCGTGCCTAGAACAATCACAGTCGCATGCTATATATTCGTCAATTAAGATCATACCGTCCCAGACGAAGTTTTATTACAGCTCACTTGTAACTGGACACGAACTTATTCAAAGTAAATGAAGCCTTCGTCTGTCTCCGAGATTTTATTTTATTTATTTATTTTTTTTTTTGTTTTTGTATTCGGTGACGTAGTCTGTCTTGGTCCAAGATCAATGCTTTGACATCTAAAGATATCCGGATTTTTTAGCTTCTTTTTATTATTATTTATTTATAATTTTTATTGACCCCTTTTTATAGTCATTTTTTTTTCAAGATATTGTTAACAATTTTTTTTTTTTTTTTGGTCGGGTCGGCCCTTTGTTTATTGTTTTCATCATTGATAAGGGAGATGGTTGTCTCCGATCCCTTCCATTATTTACACAGCTTTTTTCCTCCATAAATATAACATTCACTCAATCTGCACTGCTGTCTTCGTGTTCTATTGTTAAGAATATTTTTTTATATCTTTCGCTATTCAATGAATCTTAAAAATATTCCTCTTTTTTAAACCCATTCTTTTTTATGTGTATTCTTTGTCACCATTTTTCATTTTCCTTATTTTATAGATCTCTTTCAGTTCCATTGTGTTTTATTTATTTATTGTCAGCATTTTTAATAAGATTTCCCTTTTATTCCAAAAAAAAAAAATCAGAATATTTTTAAATATTTACATAAATTTAATTTTTGATCTTATTTTCCCAACTTTATTTTCTTTCTTAGCATTCGTTCTTTCTTCTTTATTTTTCGTTTGTTTCCATTTTCTGCATTATGTTTTTATTTTGTCTGTCGTTTTTACTTATTCTCTTCATTTTATTTCTTTGTTTTTTCTCTTTTCTCTCATTTTCTTATTTTCTTTTCTCTTTCTCTTTTCTCTTTTTGTTCGTCTTTTTTTTTTCTTCCTTATCTGTCTTTTCTTTCCAGTCATTCTTTTATTCTTTTCTTCTTTCTTATATTATCTTTTTCCCTTTCATTTCTTGTTTCTATTCTTTCTCTTCTCGTTTCAAATACAACTTTATATTTCTTTTCTCTTTCTTTTTTTCTTTCTTTCACTTCATTTTTCATTTTCTTTTTTCTTTCTACTTTTTTTATTTCCTTCACTTCCGTCTTTCGTGTTCTTTTCTTTCATTACTCGTTGTCTTTCTTTAATTTTCTCTTTTTTACTTCTATTTCATTGTTCTTATATTTCTTTCAGTCCACATTTTACCTCTTTTTTCTTTCTTTTTTTCTTTCTTTTTTTCTTTCTTTTTTCTTTCTTTCGTTTTCTTTACTTTTTCCTTTTTTCTGTACTTTTTCTTTACTTCTTTCTTTGTTTCTTTATTTCTTTCTTTTTTCCTTTGTTCTTTACTTCTTCCTTTTTTCTTTGCCTCTTCC